TTTCATGCATGCGCATTAATATTCCACACAAACACTTGAACACGGGCCAAAAAGTGAATTATTTTATTATGATACTAAATTAAACCAAACAAAATATGTAATGAAAAAAAAAGATAACCCCACAGCACCCCACCGAACACGCAAATTCTTGCACTCTGCATGCATGCAGCGCAGATAGCGACAAGAGTTATTGAAACACATAAAATGTTTAAACAAGATAATATTGACAATGAACAACATTTAAAATAGTTTTGGTGAGCTATCATGCAGTCTCTTAAGCTCTCGCTGAGCGATTTCTAAAATGTTATTAGAATGAATGCATTTCTAAAATGTTATGATACGGTAAGCCTGACACAGCAGTAGACCTTTATCAGTCATCAGCAATGAGGCAAACATGCGTGCCGGCATGCATATGATTTAATATGAAGAGTCCGTAGGCTACAATAGATTTACAATGCACAAACCAGAAGCAACAATATCTACCGAATGGAGAAGGGTTGGCAATTCACAAAGCATAAAATTTCAAGTTTCGTTTTTGTTTTCAGAGGAAAAATCATACGGACAGTTCTGAAAGCGGAATTTATACAACTATGGAAATGCTTTAAAAACTTTAACAGAGCTAGAGTGTATTTAATAGGGCTGATAGTAGTCGTTAATTTAATCCATTACTAATCGCACGTTTATATTATATTAACATAATACTCCATAATGAGAATATTCCACGCTCAAGTAGGCTACATGCATAAAGGTTGCCACAAAGCACAGGCAAATGTAGCCTAATGATTATGCAAAAAGGGACATTTTAATTATTTATTAATAAACTAATGTTTTCTAAGTCCTTGTCGGCTGCAAAGATGAAATTCACGAAATCTTCACTGGACGCACGCGCCTTTAGAGAGAAGTGCATTAACAGATTACATAATCAGGGCGTAGGCCTATTTGATTTCGTTTTGGATTGGTTCGTTTAAAAGTAGACAAGCTTTCTTTAGATATATTTCTCATGTATGTAAGGCACCCCGATTTCATTATCAGGAAAAAATGCAAGTGATCGCGCGGGCGCCTCCCTGTCATACTTGAGCATTAATTCTTTTCCACACAGACATTTGAATATGAATAATAGCCTATACAGTTATATTAGGTTAACGCTATGGGATCCGCATTAAAATAAATAAAATAATAGATAAAATAGATGCAGTTATAACCTGCAAATTGAAGGCTATTTGATGTTTTAAAATGATCTAATAACGGGCCGATGCTGCTCCAATTCGTTGATGTTGTTGATCAAGATTAAATTGTCGCAGTCATAAACTTGTTTTAATGACTCTCATAAACTTGTTTTAATAAATCGCTTATGCATTAAATAATAAAGATACAAAACAGGTTAAGTTAAATATGCTGAATATATATTGCACAAATATTTATAAAATGCTAGACTGCGAATAAGATTACAGTTTCACATTTTGCATCTTCATAACATAGTGAATTATTTTTAACATGCAATGATACAAAATAAAACCAAACAAGATTTGTAATGAAGAAAAAATATTTAGACAAATATGAAAGAATGATGAGCGCGGCTCACTCAGAAGCATGCCCAGCACGCAAAATCTCTCTGCATGAATGCAGCGCAGATAGCAACACAAGTTATTTGAAACACAAAAGGTTTAAAGAAGATAATATTGACAATGAACATTGACATTTGAAAATGTTTTGGCGATTTGTCCTTCAGTCCGTCTGTGCATTTCTGACCCACACAGCAAATGCAGTCTTAGCTAAACCTCCATGATGTTCTCGTTGAGAATGCAATTTCTAAAATGTTAGAATGAATAAATTTCTAAAATGTTATGATACGGAAAGCCTGAAACAGATCACAGCAGTATAGACCTACACAGTAGGCTATAAATCATCAGCAACGTGGTAAACATGCGTGCCTGTATGTATACAATTTAATATGAAGCGTCCGTAACGGTCACGTCCGTAACGCATTATATGGTTGATAAGAGCAAAGAATAGAGATGAGCTATTGATCTTAATTAGCATGGCCATAAATTGGCTTTGTACAGAAAGTTTCAAGTTAATTGCATTAATAATTACTATATGATATAAACGTAATATTTAAAACGTTACGGACGTGACACAGCGCTGAAGCTTCCTGACATCATATATCTAGCCTAAATAAATCCAAAAATCATGCTGTTTAGTCAAAGTGAGTTTATTCATTTTTCAGAAAGGCCTCCATCTTTCTACAAAATGCTTACTGTTGACATAAATGAAAAAATGGGTAGCCTTTGATCTCTCATTTGAAAACATGAAATACAGTCTAATGAAAAATTAATTTTACTCTGGATGCACCCCTCATATGTGGTGGATAAACATAGCGATTCCCTTCAAATTTCTATTAAAGCATGTTAATGCAGTAAAATACAGACCTAAACGCACAACTTAAATAGGGTTTTGTTCTTTTGGTAAAAACTTAATTTTTTCATGGTAGGGTTGACATTTGCATGGAATTGCTGATATATTTATTTAGTCATTTATCAGACGCTTTTATCCAAAGCGACTTACAAATGAGTACAACAGAAGCAATCAATTGTAGTATTAAAACAACTAAAAACAGATCCAAAACTAACTGCTAAAACTTTATAAATACTACCTATACACATTTGAAAAATAAAGAGATTAAATAAAAATGACAAATGCATACAACAAAATTTCAAAACTTAACATTTAAATGAAAAACAAAAAATAAAGCTAAAAACAATTAAAAATAGTAAAGAACAAAAGGTATAAGAGTATAATAATGATTCTAACATAACACTAAGCCAAACACCAAAAAAACAACTACATATATGTATGTACAACCACACACACATGCACATATATATATATACATACACATTTATAAATTCAATATATAT